ACTCTGAAACAGTTGTCGAAGTACCTGGGTGCACTCTGTTTCAACAGACGACTTCTCCAAGACAACTGAAGGTCTTCTAATTTCACCCTCGAATCAGTTTGGCTCTCTCTGACTCTGGCATAAGTTCTATTTGATTGCAGGGACATGTCTCATATAATATCTCACATGGAGTATAAAAAAATAGTCTGGAAGAATCAAAAATACAAATCAACTACCACTTCCACGATAATTAAATCTTGGTCATAAACATTTCGTCTTGATCTGTTTCAATATTAAGTCAAGAACACAGTTACCTGATCTTTGCATTGGTGTGAACGTGTTTTGTATTTACTATGAGGAAAACCTATACACTGGATAGGTGAAGTGAAGAAATAATGTCATTGGCCACTGTTCAGTTCTTCACATTATGTAGCCGCACACTAGCAAATATAATAGATAAACTTAGTATTCCGAAAATTGTTTAATTTGGAAGTCAAGTTCAAAGAAGGCCTAGTTCAATCTACACTTTGATCAACGTGTATTATTGGGTTATACTAGTTTCGGAGAATTCCACTCCTCACCAGTAACCCTGAACACAAGTTAACCAAAGAGAGATAAACTGGATCTATATCATAGTGATAAGTATCAAACAAAAAAGATAAATTTGCTACCTGTACATTACAATGTAAAATAGACGGTTAAATGGTCATTAGTGTAATGTGTTTTTATAATTCGAGTATATGAGTAACTTCAATAAGGTGATACGATTTTTTTTCTTTGTATTAAGCCTTTCTGCAAGGAATATAGTGAAGAAATATCCACAAACAAGAGAATGAACAAAATATGTTTTTATTATTGAAGTAGAGAACAAGCAAATGTATACCCTCCAGAAAATGATCAAGTTTAGTTTCTTTGGCATAATTCTCAAATCTTTGCTCTGTTCCATTTAAAACTATCAGTATATCTTTTGTAACAAAAATTAATTTTCTGTTTAACTTTAGTGCTTAACATGTTGACTATATGCATTTTAATACCTTTAAGTAAATAAACTTTTCTAGTATCTACAAACAGGCATTGCCAAAGACATGAGAAACATAAAATTCTTGGGAAAGTATCCAACAGTTGAGAGAAAGCCAGAGTACACAAATGGAAAACATTAGTAAATTTCAAAGTGAATTAAATATTTTCCATTTGTACTTCTTGCCACTGTTGCTGACTTTCCTGTAACTGTTGGAGACTTTCTTCCTGTTTCCTTTCTTGTTCTAGTTGCCATTGCTGTAATCTCTTATCTTGTTTATTTTCTTTCTCCTCCAACCATGCTGTAGTCTCTCTTGTTTATTTTACTGTTCGAGCTGCCACCGCTGCAGGTTTTCTTGCCACTGCTGTGTAAAAGACAGTAAATCGTCCTTTAATGCATTAGTAAAATTCAAAGCGAATTAAATACATTAAAGGATGATTTATTGTCTTTTACACAAGGAGGATACATTAACCATCGACTTAATCAGACAATGGCAAGCCCCTTCCAGACCCCACAGCTAAACCCTAATGCAGACATCTTCAGTCCTGTTAGAAGTCACATCCCAGATATGAATGCCAACAATAGGGGTGATCCAGTACGAAAGAAGCCACAGGAATTCGATGGGAAGGCACCGTGGGAAGCATATAGAGCACAATTTGAGCTATTGGCAGAGATGAATGGATGAACATAGGAGAAGAAAGCAGTATATCTGGCACCGAGCTTGAAGGGACAACCACTGGAAATATTTGTTCAATTGTCAGCAGACGACAGACACAACTATAGAGCACTTGTAGCAGCTCTAGAACTCAGGTACCAAACCCAAATCAGTCCAAAGTCTACAGGGTTAGGTATAGGACGAGAGTCCGTGCTAAAGGGGAGAGCCTGCAAGAGTTGGCACAGGACTTGGAAAGTATGGCACACAAGGCCTCCCCAACTGCACCACCCGATCTCCTCAAGTTGTTGCTGAGAGATCAGTTTGTAGATGCCTTGAATAGTCCATAACTAAAGGTACAAGTGAAGCAAGCACACCCCTCTACTAAACAAGATGCAATGGCCAGAGCTATTGAATTCGAATCCTACATTAAGTCCAGCACAGAGGTACCAAGGCTGATACAGTCATCAGGATTCAAGGCCAGAAAAGGGCAGCTTTCAGAGAAGTTTGAGGGACTTTGCTGGCACTGCAACAAACCTGGGCACCAGAAAGCTCAATGCTGGAAACTTCAACACAGGGAAGATGCCATGGCTGGAAAGGCTGCTACCCAGAAATATTGTTGGAACTGTGGAGAGCAAGGACATATGAGGAGCCAGTGTAAGAAGAATGCTACCAATAAGTCTGCCTTGGGTAAACCAGTAGTAGTTGGTGTTGAGGGACGCCCAAAAACCCCCATTGTGAAAGTTCCAACAGCTAAGTGTAAAATGCCAAGCACACATAGTGTCTACGTGACAGGAAATCTGGATGGCCAAAAGTGCAACTTTGTC